AAAAAAAAAAAAAAAAACTAGATCTCCAAATTCTGATTTTATTCAAAAACTCCTCCTTGCATAGCCGAGGTTTAAATTAAAAAAATGGCGTGTTCAAATCAAGTAACAATAAAAATGATGAAATAAAACTCATAGCAGTACACACTTGTAACATGTTTTTTAAAAAAAATATTATAGTCAATTAGGGCGAAACTTTATTAACAATATCTGAAAGTTACATGCGGCAAAGGGAGGAAGACATCAAACCTTGCCTCTTATTTTGTGTCGAAGATGTCAGTCTAATTGACTTTTTAATCTAAAGACATTTGTTGGACCGATATTTTTAAAATTATTTTTAGAACTGTTCTAGAATTTTTTTTCCCAAACCACACGGGTTTGGTAAAANATATTTTTAAAATTATTTTTAGAACTGTTCTAGAATTTTTTTTCCCAAACCACACGGGTTTGGTAAAAAACTCTTCCTCCCTCCTACCAAATGAAAAAGACATGAGCTGACTAAGCCTTTTGCTGTAGTGTCACCGTCCAAACACACAGCACCATCTTTTTCATGATGGAATTTACATTGCCCTGTGGTGGTTTTCTATCTAAATCTTTCTTGGAATGGTGATGAGAGTGGGAGGAAGAAATGGGTTCTTGCTGTTTCAGAATATCTTGCAAACATACAGTAGATTCTGATACGTTCCTTATTTTGAGAATGAGTTATGTGCGTATGAACCGGTAAGGAGAAGGGATCTACCATCAACAAAAAATTTGTTGCGAGGTACAGGGACCATCATATAATGTACAAGTTTGTACAAGACAGTTAAACCATCATATGTTGGAATGGGATTTGGGTGTTAGTTCCAGTGGATTTTCTGAATATCAGTGTCCCTAAGTTTATGTGTGTGTTTTTGCATTTTGAATTACATGGATGTCAATTCACATAAATTTGTCTGTGTATTTGCATAACGTGCTTGTCCGTATAACTCTCCAGTTATCTAATCTGGTGAACGTGCCTTGTTTACATGTGGGTTGGGAATTGGGCTATGGCAAAGAAGGAAACTTCTCGTTTCCAAATGTTCCTCCCATGGCAGATATTTTATATGAGGTTGAGCTTATTGGTTTTGATGAAATTAAAGAGGTGAGTTACCAGTTGATTACTTCCACTGAATTTATTCATTCAATCTCAAAATATTTTAGTTTGGTCTTTAGTAGGGTGCTAACAGTTTAGAGCGATCAATGAAATTTTTTGCAGGGGAAAGCTGGTAGTGACATGACAGTAGAGGAAAGGATTTTATTGGCTTATTTTGATAAACTGTAAAGGGCAGCTTATCATTTGATTTCCATGTTTCAGGCAGAATTAATTGAGCCTGCTGTGAAGGGAACACTTAATGTCCTGACATCCTGTGCAAAAGTTTCATCTATCAAAAGGGTGGTAGTAACATCCTCCATGGCTTCCGTTAAATACAATGGAAAACCTCTAAAGCCCGATACATGCTCAATACAGATATAACATGTGTTTGTGCACGCGTGTTTGTATGTTCCCTTCGGTTTATTTGTTCAATCGAAATGGTCGGTGAATCTCTCTCTGACTTTCTCTCTCTCTCTCTTTTTTGGTAAAGTTTTGAGATTGATTATAATTGAAATTTGAACTGAAAGAAGGAAGATGGAAAATGGAGGTGGTGGAGGATATGAAGGGAGTTTGGCGGATAAGTTTTCTGGCTTGGCTGTGATTAGTAGTGATGTCAACAACAAGAAGGATGGGTTGTTTCAGGTCATGAAAGCAATCGAAGCCGCGGAGGTCACAATCAAACTATACTCAAATCTTGCATTTTTCTGCTCGATTGTATCATTATATACCTGTTCTTTTATTACTAACTTTTGGATTTGGTTCTCAAATTTGAAAACGTTATCATTAAGTGACTGGTGTATCAGTGTACTGAAGTGAGCTTGAATTTTATTTTATTTTGACCAGAAAGTGAGCTTGAATATAGACATAAGGTATGTATGTAGTTTGGAGTCTGATATTAGTGTTGGACTCAAGATCAAAATGTAGCTTCATTTCTGCTAGAATTTCTGAAGTTGTATCAATTGCATCCTCGTTTGGTGATGTGGAGTTATTTCACAAAAAACAAAATAAAGCGGGAAGACAATCGTNTTTGGAGTCTGATATTAGTGTTGGACTCAAGATCAAAATGTAGCTTCATTTCTGCTGCTACAATTTTCTTTCTTTCTTTATGTTCTTTTTAGAATTTCTGAAGTTGTATCAATTGCATCCTCGTTAGGTGATGTGGAGTTATTTCACAAAAAACAAAATAAAGCGGGAAGACAATCATATGAACGAGAATGGATATGAAAGCAATCAATTTTTTGCAGTCAACTAATAAAGGCCCAAACAGAAATTAATTACAAGTTCTTTTCCCTTTCCGACAAAGGATAATTTTAAATTAGAAATTGTGGCAGTTGCGGAAGCCACAATCAAACAACTGGACTTTATTATTATGTACTAAAATTTGGCATTTGTGCTCATTTACATCATTGTATGACTGTTCTTTCATTACAACCTTTTGGATGTTGTGCTTAGCTTTGGATTTATTAGCATTAGCTGATACATGAACCATTGAGTTCACCATGACTCTTGTATTTCTTTGTTTATTGCCATGGCTAAAGAAATATGTTAGCAGAAGACCTGTCTTCGTAAGTTGAAGACCTGTCATCCTGTGTACTGTGGTGTGGAGTATGCATGGTTTTCTGTTTCTTGTATTTGCTTGTAAATCAATGGGTATACTTGGTATACATGTAATTTCTTTCTGTTCATGCAGTCATTACTTACCGAAAAAAAAACATTGGCTGAATCATCTAGTGTTATACAATGTCCATCAAGATGGTTCTTTTTAGTTTAAGGCCAGAAAGAGATCTTGAAAATACAGATGGGAAAAGGCCACAAAGGCTGTTTTCTTTCAGAAGAAATTAGAATTCGGACAGCAAAAACATTGAAGCTTATTTTGTGGTTACGTGTGTTGTCATTTAAAAATATAGCTGGAGAGAAGTTAACTTGATTTAATACCCTTCATTTTTTGCTAATTAAACTTTGGTTCATTTATCAGCTGTGGTAAATGGTATCAAAAACCTTGGCCGAGGAAGCTGCATGGAAATTTGCAAAACAGAATGGGATTGACTTGGTGACGATACATCCAGGCTATGTGACTGGTCCTCTCTTGCAGCCAACTCTCAATATTTCTGCTGAGGGGATTCTGAACTTCATAAATTATGGTATGCTTTTGTAGCAAATGAGGATGCTGTATACGAAAGTATCTTTCTACTTGACACGTTTTCATTCTTCATCTCAATTCTTTTCATATGTTTTACTTAACTAATCAGGTTACAAATAGAATATAATCTAGTTTGGAGATAATCCTTCTGAAAACTCTTTATCTCATCCATTCTGTCATTTGAAGTTTAAAAGGCAGCCAAGTCAGTGCTGCTATCTCAATTTGTTCTTGTTTGTAAGAAGTCTAAATTCATTATTCATTACAAAATTCAATTATTTTGTGAGGCACAGGAGATGCTATCTTCTCTGAAGTTTGCTCATTGTTTCCCCTTCTCTTTTTCTTTTTTAGTTCTGATGAGATGCCTATTTGTTGAGAACAATGGCCCCCAAGGATAATTTCTCTTTCCCCAGGGATATTTGTCGCAGAACATCATTCTCTTTGGATTTTGCCATCGTAAATTAGTTATATCTGTTTGTATTTGCTTTTTGTACATTTTATAGTGTTAGGTATTCATATCGTTGAATGAATTGCACACAGCAAAAGCATTCCTCTTCTCCAGTCAGCTCCTGTTAAGTCGGCCAGCCCAGTACCAGCTTAAACTTCCAGCAGCAGACTTTGACAGTCAGCCACATCAGCTCAGCACTACAAACCCAGCTCCTGCCTTCCCAGCTCAGCTCCTGCTGCAACAGCATTACAGATCAGCTCCTTCTCAGCACATATCAGCTCAGCAAGTACCAGCAGCAACACAGGAATACTGCATAAGCAGCATAGCACACAATCTCCCACACCACTGCTCCATTATCAGCAGCAGAAAAGTTAAAGAGAACAGCAGAAATAAGACCATTCTGTTTTTGTTGCATCTGCAGGTTTGGATCCTCACCTGAGATGCTGACGATGTAAGAATTTGGTACCCCCCTCAGTATTAGTTTCGAGTTGCTCCATTAATTTATACTTCTGGACTCATGCTATAAGTTGCCATGTCATGTTGTTTTTGCCAAATATCTGTTGTGGTCTATGGACATCCTGCGTAAGTGGGCACATATTGACTTGCTTACTCTTGCAATTATTCTTCCTCTGCTTGTATGCTTCTATC